TTATTTTCTAAATGACTAATATGTTTTAATTTATTTAATTAATTAAATTTTATGAACAAAAAATCTGGCAAGTATTGTAAAAATTTAAAATGAGTATAAATCATAATTATAATTATGAATCCATAATTCTTAAAATTTCAACACCCAAAGATTGGATGTGTAAGAAATTGCTTTATTCTTTCAAATTTTAAATAAATTATACTGTTATTTTTTTCTTAATTAGTTTACTTCTTTTCTTCATTGGGTTCTATAAATTTTAAAATATTTATTGAAAGTTAATTTTAAAGTTTAATGATATTAAGCACAAAAACTGATGAGTTCATCTTTTCTTGTGAATTGTGATGTTTTTTTCACTGTTCTTCTATTTTTATCATATTCTTAAGATTAAGACATGATTGAAATAATCAAATTACTTGAAATGTTTATTTTGTATGTTTATCATAAATAGTTGATGTAAATCACTATATTTAATTTTATTCAATAATATAATATCTAAATCATAAATTTTTGATCCCACATTACTTATTTGTGTGCTCAATAAAATTATCAGCTAATTCTTTCGAAATCTAATTTATTCCAAAGTAATTTGCAAAGTTTTATTCAACCTATTACAAACTTAATTATTTTCTGTCAATCAAATATGATATTATGTATCTTTCAAAAATTTTCTTTTTCAAAATGGATTCTTATTGATATTTAATTTATACCTAAGCATTAAATTTCTATCCATTGTAATTGATTAAGCATACTTATATAGATTAGGTTTACATAAAATCTTAATAAAAATTATAAGATTTAATTGCATTAGAAATCCAACCTATAGGAAATACTTGAGATTATTAAATAAAATCGATAATCATATCTGAATTAATACCCAACATTTTTAACCAATTTTTATTAACACTTCTGTTACATCCTATCACAATTTAATTATTATCAACAATAAATTCAATAATTTCTTGAGGCATCTCTAATTATTTTGGTGAAAATAAATTTTTTTTATTCTCGAAACCTACTTAAAAGTTTGAAACTTACTCTAAAAATAAATAAAATGGAAAATTTATTTTTAGTTCAAATAATTTATTTTATTGATAAGGTAAGCAATTAAAGATAAGATCATTTTTTTAGTTTGACACTGCCATAATTTTGAATTAAATAGAAAAATTATCCTTAAGTAAATGTCCAAATGTATGTCTACCTTTTTCGTTTGGCTTAGAAACTTCTTGTGACTACTTTTCTTCTTTAATTAATGGTCTTATTAATTCACATATATATTTGGCTTCATGTTTAGGTGTATTTGATTATTTGAATTCTTTACGAATAATTTATTTTTCCTTTTTCATATTCACTTTCTTAATTTATTTGTTAAGGAGGTTGTTAAAATGAGACAAATTTAATGAAGGATCAATAGAAAAATTCATTAATATTTTATTATCATCATCAATAGTTAAAGGTAATGATATTTAAACCAGAAAAATTGATAATAGTGCATCATTTTACAATTAAGATTTAGGATTTTATAATTCAGATAAAAAGATTAAAAATTTTTTTGAATATAATTATATGAATGAAGCCTTTAATTAATTAAATTCAGATTAGAAATATATTAGCACTTAGTTATTAAAAAATTTTAATCATCAAATTTAATGATCTTAAATATTAAGAACTAAGGATTCTTCGTAATCATACATGTACTTGATTAATTTTTTTTTTAATGTTTGACTGTGTGATTAAATTTGAAACAATTAAAAAGTATTAAATGATGTCACTAAGAATTTCTAAAGTAGGGGCATGACCAAAACATGTATTTTAAATATCACCATAGAAATACAATATTAAAATTTAAAGAAAAACGATCAAGAAAAATTTCCTTCGAATGATAATAGTTTAACTGCTTTAAAACTATTTCATTTTAAATTCATCAATCTCCATTACTTTATTGATTCAAATTTAATATATTTGATTACTTTTAGACAAGAGACAAAATATTCAAACCATAACTTTCTGTTTGATTTGACATCAATGAAGTTATTTAAATTTTTTATCTTTTGTTTTTCTATCTTTCCTAACTTTTTCAAACTAGTTGCTATCGATTATGTTTCATAGCTATACTTTATATTATCTAAAATTGTTCTATTATAACCAGATATCATTACTTTTAATGGAATTGCCTATTTCAAATATCATAATCTTAACATTTTGGTTTCTTAACAATCAATATGCCATCATTAATTTAAACATTTAAGCTATAACATGATTTTAATCACTTCACTTAAAAATCCTTATTTTTATTCATAATATTGGTCTCAATATTAATTTATATGACAATGAACAATAATTCTTAGAGATAGTTAAATATTAGATCATAAATTTATTAAGAAAAGGATATCTATAGAACTTATTTTTAATGCTTTTTTAAATAAGAATTGTCTTAAATACAACTTTCTCAAGTATACGTTGTACTTGGATTACATTTAATTTGTTTAACAAGTATATATGACAATAATTTTCTCACGTCAGTGAATCCTTCTAAACTAATAAAAAATTTAGATCCTCTTTTTTAAACAATAAAATCATTAGTAATAAGGATTGCATTACTTATTATCTATGCATTACATATATATACCTTTTTTAAAGAATATTAAATAACAAAAAATTTAAACAAGAATATCTGATCAATAATAATATATAATTATAATGTTAAAAAGAAAACTTAGAAAATTCATTTAGTTTTACTGAGCATCTTATTTCTCATTCAAAAACTTGCTTTCTAATTTGAGATTTCATTAAAAATCTAAATATTCTGGGAAAAAAATAACAAATTTTGTTAAATTATTTTAATTTAATGATTGTATAAATTTAAATATATTATATATGGTAATTTTATATTTAATTAAAAATTTTTATATATTTAGAACTAATATAAAAGTATTAGAAATATAAAATTATATTCATTCAAAAAACAGGTTCCATTTATCATCAACAAAAATCATAAGAATATCTACAAATTTTGAATGTCTAAATCAAGTCCAAATATCAAAATTTACGTTTATATAGATAAAATTAATTGTAATTTAGATTATCAGATTTAGTTTTTTTTAAGTAGTATAGATTATTCATTTAAGGTTTTTATTTTAGGAATGATGTATTTAAATACTTTCAGTTAATCAAATTTAACCAGATTCCTTACTCTTTTTATCTTTTTGGTCTTGCTACACTTTACCTATATACATAATTGCCAAAATACACTAAAGTAATCATTAAAAAAATGATATTTATTTATTAAACTTCAAAATTTCAACACTTAAATGAAATCAATTTGAAATATTTTCATGAAAGCTTATAACATATCTTTTAATATTCATTCTTAGAATTAGTAAGAATAAGGAAAATTATTAAGTATAAGGCTTAGCTTATATATCGATAAAATATAAATTAATAAATTTCAGAGAGTTATTTTTTGCACTCACCTAAAACTGATTTTCTGATTTTTTATAATTGAAGTTTACAAATTTTAATTAAAGATTTTTTGTGTATAAATTCGAAAGATATATATTTTTAGATTTTAAATAATATAGATGTACTAGAAGTTATGCTAAAGTATAACTAATTAATTTAAGAAATCAAGTAATATAATATATTAATAATGTATTTAATGTTTTCAAGATCTTGATCTCAGATATGGTATAGAATTAGGTTAATCTTCTGAATAATCAACATCTACGATTGAATGAGATCTTTTATAATCTGGTTCTGAAACTTGAAGATTAAGACTAAGTTTTTAATTAAAAATTTAGTCTAATTTAGTTTGATCTTTATTTAAAGTTTAAAATAATTCTAAAATGTCTTCATCTAAGATTTAAATGATATTTTTATCTATTTAACTTAATTCGTTTTTCTTTTTTAATTTTGCAAAAGACATAAAAGCCTCTTGGAGTTTTAAAAGATCTGATTTTTCATCTTATAATATGAATTAATAAGCTTTTTTTGATTCAATTTCTTTAACTTTTTTTTCTGCATCATCTCCAAAAAGAGCAGAAGGTATAACAGGTTTTGGTAAATAATTAAATAATTATAATTAGTCTTCATTTAATAATACAAGTTTTAATTTGTCTATTTCATAAATTTTAGATATAATATAAGCAACATCTAATTTAGACATAAATTTATCAGTTGCATATTAAATTTACATCGATTCCTTTTTCTTACACCCAAAACTCATAACAATCATATCTCTTAATGTTAAATTTAAAGACTACTTTTTAGACTTTAGAAACTAACTCATTGTTTTAGAGTCTTAGATTTTTTCAAAATTCTTTGATTTATGAGATTTACCTAAAGATTTAGAGAATGAAGATTTTTTAATATCAAAATCTAATACTCTTTAAGATGATTATTATTTAGGTGATGAAACAATAAAATTATCCTAAATTGGTTGATCATCATCTAAATAATCTATGGCATTTTCAAATCGAAATAATTTATTGGCCATTTATAGATTCATAAATTTTTAGATTAAAGGTCTTAAAAAACTACAAATGGATAAAAATAAAACTTGATAAAGCCCACCTATTGTACTTAAAATAGCTTAAACTTTAGAATAAGATCTAGAATATTCAGCCTATCTTTGATCAAGAGTAATATAATGAAGAATTAAAAATTAATCATTATATTCTTCTTATGATTCACGATTAGTGTACTAAATTAAACTAGAAGATTCAGATTTATCATCAGCTATAAGTCCATTGTCAGTTATGACATTTGTCACTTTTAAATTTTAAATAATAGTTTTTGAATTAGCAATTGACAATGTTGTATATTAAAGTGAAATATATTCTGAAAACGGGTATCCTGGTTGTTTCATTTATACTAAATTATCTGATAAATGAACAACATAATATCCTGTTTTCAATTCTTATTAAATACTTTCTTTAGGAGCACATAAATTGTAAGAACTAGAATTCTTACATTCCTAAATCATAATGGTGATGTACGAAAAGGTTTTGCCAGCAATTTGACCTTATAAAATCTAAGATTTATTTAAAATTAATTACTGGTGGTGTTTTATGCCATTATTCTGAATTTAGACATTAAACATTGCCTAAGTTGATAGATTAAAAATATTATTTTTAAACATTTGTAACGAAATGTTTATCACTACATGCTTCTGTAGGGTATTCTGTACAACTTAGATACTAGAATCAAAAAAGATACTTCTGTTGTATTTTAGTTTTGCCTGTTTACTCATCTATAACTCTTAACCTCTGGCAATTTTTTACTGTAATCGTAAAATGGGTATTTAATGTTGCAAGACTGTTCAAACTTAAATTTGCAATGGAAATTGCCATCGTAAAGTTATTCATCAGCAAAGGAACAGGCTTTAATAATTAAATTGTCTTACAGCAGTATCAGTCATTTAATACTCTGAAAATACAACAATAGGGTTTTTTCGATCATATAATTATTTGATTTAATAAATTAAATATAGTATACAGATTGTTGTAATAGCTGATGAACAAAACAACCCAGTTGAAGTAGTGAATTTATTTTTTTTCAAAATTCTCAACACAGGAGGTTATCCAAACATATCTAATCCACTCATAAGTCCCTGTAAGCTATTTTTAAGCATTTATGAATTCTTTTTTTGGTATTTTAACATAATTTCTCTTTTTGATATTTTTTAAAACCAATTATTTATTTTAACATAAATTGTTTGCTTAATGGATTTTACTAGTGTCAAATTTCAGATAACGATCGCCCAAATAAAATAAGAAGAATTCTTATATTAAGGAGATAAAGTTTAAATTCAAACAAATGATAAATTACTCGATTTTAAATTAAAAAGCAAAAGGGGGTAATTGATTAAGAAAATCATGCCTATTTCTATAATGTAGATAAAGAAGATACCTAAAGATTAATAAGATTTAGACTAGAGTATTCAATCAATTTTAAGGTAATTAAATAATCTAGTATATAGAGTGCAATTCTTTTGACAGCATTTAATTGTCAAAATCCATTTATTTATTTAGTGCTAGATTTCTTAAGAATAAGTTGAAATTTGATGTTTTCTTCAATATTCATAAGATTTATCTTTTAGGGTTATTTTAGGCATTTTTACCTTTTATTTTTAAAATAAAAAGTTATGCCTTAGAGTGCAATAAGGTTATGAGAAATTTTAGATTGAAAAGGAAGTATAAGAGATAAGAAAAATAAATCTAAGATTATGATTTACATCATTATTGTTTAAGTTCTTTTTAAATTTTAATCTAATAAATATTAAGTTAATTAAAGAAAATAAATGCATTTATGTTTACATGATATATACAGCTATTATTACTAATAATAATTTAAAGCGCATATAATTTTAAATAATAATTAAATATATTATAGATTTATTAAAAAATAAGAATTAAATCTGTTAAATTATCAATTCTGAATACAATAATTTTAGAGAAGAATATCTAATTGGAAGATTTGAAGAAAGGCTTATATTTTGGTTTATTTTTCTCTTAATTAACTTTCAAAGAATAATACATTATTTTAAATTAAATTAATATAATATTTGAGTAAACAACTGCTGAAAGTCTAAATTATATATTAATTTAAATATATTTTTCGAATAATCATAAAGGATATAAAGATGGAAAATTCACTTAAAGGAATTGTTTTGAATCAATTAATTGTAATGTAGGAAATAAAATTAAGGGAAATAATACCTAATGTGTGTATTTTTTAAAGAAAAGTGTACAATAAAATCAATTTTAGCAAATACTCTAAATCCTTTTTAGTTATGTTATATTAATTTTAATATTTTTTTAAGTTATATCTATTTCATAATTCATGCTTGTTTTAAACGTACGTATTCGTTTTATTATCTCTTAGAATTTTTCTTGTATTTATCTATCTTTTATGACAAAGGATGTTCTTTTTTTTGGATTATATATAATGATAAAATATTTCTTTTCATTTTCCATATATCTATATAATTCATCAAAACATGTAAGGCTGCTTTATATTAAGAAATTTCTTATTTTATCTTTTGAAAGATGTATGACAATATTTTATCATTATGATTCGCTCCATTTTTGTAAATTAAACAATTTGCAAAATTACTTTCTTCATATGTTTACTTTTCTCTCAAAATTTAAATTACTTAATAAAATTTTATTATAAGAATCTTTACATATCTTTATGATTCTGTGTAATTATTTGTCTTGTTTGATATATCTTTTAAATTTTCTATTGTTATTTCAAATATTAATATAAGATATATTGAGGTTCCATTTTTTGATTAGTCATTTTAATTTTAGTTATTAATTGTATGACTTTGTATTTTTTGAGAAGAATCTTTAAATTACTATTTATTCAAATAAATTAAAAGTTAATGATCTAAAATTAAAGAGAAATCATTTTTATGATTTGAATTGTCAACCAAATTTATTTTTTAATTAAGCTTTTCTTGTAACAATATAGTAATTATTTTTATAAATAAATTATATATTATGTCAGCTCTTAAGACATTAATGAAAATGCCATAATCTAAATTAGCATCAAAATGTATAGCCTTAGAAGAATTGTTATAGCGGTATTATTAGTTTGAAGAAGTTCATTATGATTTATAAAGCAAATACTAAATTCTTTAAGAAAAATTTGAGAAAATTAGTCAACAACATATTTAATTAATGCAAAATGTATAAAATGATAAAGACTCATTTTCTTAAAAAAGTTAAAAAAGATTGGATTCTTATCTCAACTGCACAGAAAGAATCGAATTGTGTGCAATTGAAGATCTCGAAACATAAAAAGTTATTGAAGAATTGAAGTAATAAAATCAAAAAATGAAGGAGGAAGTATTTCTAAATAAATAAGAATATTTAAGATTATAATAAATGTATCTTAATTTCTATATAGGTTTGAGTAATCTTAGACTGAACTATTTCGATCAGCTTCTATTAAAACTGCTTCTGATTCTAAATATAATTCTCTTATTGATGATAAAAATAACGATTCAGTTTAATCTTATAAAAATGAAATTGCCAGATTAAATAAAATCGTAGTTTCCATTTTTTATTGTAGGTCACATCTTTGAGACTTGAATTATGCCATTATAAAACTAGAGAATTTGATGAAGAGTGGATGAAAGCTTAACTAATTAAATATTAAAAATAATCATAGATTTCAAGCAATCATAATAATAAATCTTTTGAAATTCTTGATTATGTTGATAATTGATATATCAAATTTATTTAATGAATTCTTATTATTATTGTTATATAATAAATATTAATAACATAATTCTTTTTATCAATTACTTTTTATTATTTTTTGGTTTGCATGTCTTATTCCTTAAAAAATTAAAGTATAACATTAAATTTTGTAGAATAATAGCATTACAATTTTATAGCTTTAAACAAAATTTATCATTATCTGATTGATATTAAATGTAAAATATGTTTAGAAAATTTATTCATTTTCACAAAAATAATTAGATAAATAATAGATAATCAATTTACTTATATTGAAAATATATTTTATATTCTTAAATCTAAAACAATTTTTATTAAATATGATTTAAATTAAATATTATTTACTTAAAAATGACTGAGCATTTAATTAATTTGAAATCAATTATATTAATCTTTATATGTAAAATATTAGTTTAACATAGTTTTTATGCAATACTTACTTATTTTTGTTATTCTTTTTTTAACTGTGTGTATTAGATTTCTATAAATGATAAATTAGCTTGGTCTTATGATAGAATAATTTTTATTTTGAGAAGCTCGTCTTAAGAATGTTCCCTTAAGATAGGGGTTTATTTTACTATTATTGAAATTAGTTAGAATAAGTACTTTTTAGATTATTGAAAAATTATAATTTAAAAGAAAATAAAAATATTTATAATTATAATTCATTAAGGATCTTATTGATTTCCCGAGACTGATAATAAATATTGTGATATTTAATCAAACTCTTGTGACATCTATTTTACAAATAATACAAATACATTATTAAACAGCATAGTTAAATCATCAAATTATTACATAAGTTCATTAATATAAGTATCTTCATTATAAATAAGTTGATCTTAAGGTTCAACTGTTTGAGGGTTATTTTCAATATTATTTTAAGATTATGTTTATACTTTTATTAATTTTTAATCTTTATTAGAATCAACAACAGTCTCATTTTGAATTGGTTATTAACCTATAGGGATTTAGTCTTATTAAAGTAGATATTTATTCTAATTCTCCATTTTCCTTTAATTACTGCTGTTACTAGCAAAACAACCCATTATTTTAATTTTATTTATTATCCTTTGAATGAATATTAAGAAAGAGTGGATAAGAATTATAACAATTCTATTAATTATACATAAATATTAGATGTTATCATGAGGATTATTCTCTTAATTCTTTCATCATAGCTTCTATTTCTTTATCCACCTTTTATATAGATGATTTTATTACTTCATCAATTGATTTGATTAATTCATCAAAAGCTTATTACACTTGTTATTCTAAAGGGTCTAATTCAGGATCCTCTTTTTTAAACTATTAAATTATATCTAAAATATACTGGTGGTGGATTTTCTTTCTATTATATAGATTGACTCATAGTTTGAGATCTTTAAATTGTTGTCTCTGTTATATCAATAGACTTTTGTGACTTTGTTTACTCATTTTAAGTGCTTTTAGGCTTGTTATTATCATTATTATTATTGTTGTTATTGTTGTTATTGCTGTTTCCCATTTATAATTTAATCTAAAATAATAATAGAAAAAATCTATATGTTTTCTTTTTTTTTAATATCTTTTATAAAATATTCAAGCATTTTTAATAAATTAATTATTATTATATATATATATAAATTCACATATCTCCATCACTACTTTCCTTATCTTCCTCTTACATAGATTATCTACTACTACTCAATTGATCTTATCTAGCAATTCTTTATAAGAAATTTAAGATTTATTGCATTCCTGGTGGTGGTCTTGGAAATGAATGTCTTTATTGTTAAGATCTAACATCTTCAATGGTTTACTATTATTGCTATAGTTATTTTTTTAAATCCTTTTATTAATACACATAAACTTAGTTTTTTGTAGGATGAAACTTAATACACTTTATTTCTTTTTCTTAATCTGATATCTATTTTATACCAATTCTTTACTTAATATTTTTCAATTGGTTAACTTGATTTTTAGATGTGCCAAACTAATAATTCCCCTTTTTATGTTCCTGCTGCTATTAAATTACTATTAAGCCATCCAATATCAAATTAAGGACTTAATGTTGTTACACTTGAACTTGGTTGAAATACTTTAATTATTTATAATCCAGGTAATGAATATAAAAACAATTAAGATATTATTTCATTAATGAATGTTAAAACATAATTAAATTGCTTATCTACAATAGAATTCTCTATATTTTAAGTACTTACAGCATATGATATCTACTGTTTTGTATATAATTATAACAAACTTATTTTATTTTGACTAGTTAAAAGCATAACTTCTTTTTATTAATTACTATGTAATTTTAAAAGTTTCTCTTCAATTTTTAATCCTCCCTTTCTTTCACTATCATTCCATTCATAAAGCCATCCATCTATTGAAATAGTATAGATGTCATATTCATTTTTCTATTTTTTTTTTGATTAATCATATAATACAAATGTGAAACATTGAACTTTTGCATGATGTCCCTCAAGTCTATATTTTTTTTATGTTTCTAAATTATACACAAAAACTGTAAAATCTTCAGAAGATGTTCCAATATATTTATTACAAGGTGAAAATAAAATTGATGTTATTGTACTAGAATGGCCTGTTTATACTTTTCTTGGTTTAGGTTAGAATTCTTTTGTTGAGTTTTCAAAATGATATAGATAAATTTAAAGACCATGTACTAATGCTTTATATTGACAGTTGAATGAGAATACACAATGAGTAATATTTTTCTTTTGGTTTATTATATTTAATTTAGGATTGCAAGAGTGCTTTAAAGTTATGTTATAATTTTATTCTAATTGATTATGGAATTGACATTCTAAGATTTGATTTGCTTTTGATTATTATATAAAGGTAACTAATCTATTGGGTTCAATTAATCCAATTTATTTATAACACAATGAAATAATTTCATCTATCAATTCTTATTCTTGTTTGAGTTTAAGTTCTGGTAGATAGAGCATGGAAGAATAATGATGCTTTTATTATTCATCTAAATATTGATTTATGTTTATTACCTGAGCAAAATTTAGTGATTTGATTTCTCAATAATTAGATTGCTTCTTATACATTTTGTAATTTAAGTAGTTTAATATATTGTTATTCTAATACTTTCAACATACATTTTTATTTAGTGGATTCATCTACATATTGATTGAGAATGGATTCTAATAATTAATTATCATAGTTTAAAATGGATTTAGTGATTAATTCTAGATTTGTAGGATCTAGTTTTATAAGTGATTGTTCTTGTAATTTGTGGAAGGTTTGGTCATATTTATTTTATCTTAAAAATTAGAGAATTAGTTTTATTTTTTCTTCCTTTATGTTCATTTAATATTTGATTAAAAAAATTTCTTTTTTTAATTGACCATAAATAATGGATATCGTAGGAGTAAGAGATATTAATTATCTATCATAGAACGTATTGCCATAAGTATTGAAAGATGAAGCTACAGAAGATAAGGGAGAGATGGCTAGATTGGTAAAAATTGAATTTTAAAGATTTATAGTAAAGTTTTGTAGGAGCAATAGCAGTAGCAGATTTAGTGAAAACTACATTAGGACCAAAGGGAATGGTTAGAATAATGAATAAATAGTATAGGATAAAATATTGAAACCAACAGGACCAGGTTAAGAGATGAGTCATATTACTGTAACAAATGATGGTGCTACAATTCTAAGATCTATGTATGTAGAGAATCCAGCAGCAAAGATTTTGATAGAGATAAGCAAGACATAAGATGAAGAAGTAGGAGATGGGACAACAACAGTTGCTGTATTAGCAGGTGAATTATTGCGGGAAGGAGAGAAATTAATTTAGAAAAGAATACATCCATAACATGTAATAGCTGGTTGGAGAATTGCAAGAGATGTAGCATTAAAGAGACTAAGAGAAATATGTATGATAAATATTTATTTAATTAGCAACTGAAAATGATATCAATTCTTAAGAATTTCATGATGATTTGGTTAAAATAGCTAGAACTACATTGAGTTCTAAATTAATTACATCTGATAGAGATTATTTTGCTGATTTATGTGTAAACGCAGTACTTAGATTGAAGGGATCTTCTAATTTAGATTATATATAAATAATCAAACTTCCAGGAGGAACTATTAGAGATTCATATTTAGATGATGGATTTATTCTGAAAAAATAAATTACTATTGGATGTAAAACAAGAATTGAAAATGCTAAAATATTAGTAGCTAATACTGCTATGGATTATGATAAAATTAAAATTTATGGTACTAAAGTTAAAGTTAATTCAATGGATAAAGTTGCTGAAATAGAGGCAGCAGAAAAAGAAAAAATGAAACATAAAGTAGATAAGATTCTTAAATATTAACCAACAGTATTTGTTAATAGATAATTGATTTATAATTATCCAGAATAATTATTAGCAGATGCTGGTATTACAGTAATAGAACATGCAGATTTTGAAGGAATGGAAAGAGTTGCTGCAGCTACAGGTGCTGAAATTTTATCTACATTTGATGCTCCTGAAAGATCAGAATAGATTTTAGGACATTGTGATTTAATAGAAGAAATAATGATTGGAGAAGAGAAAGTAAATTTATTATATTATAATCAATTAGATGATTAAATTTTCAGGATGTAAGAAAAATGAAGCATGTACAATAGTTTTAAGAGGTGCAAGTACACACATTTTAGATGAAGTTGATAGATCAATACATGATGCTTTATGTGTCTTAATTACTACTGTAAAAAATAGAAGAGTAGTTTGGGGAGGTGGAAATTCAGAAATGTAAATGGCAGCTGCTTGTGAAGAAGAAGCTAAAAAAGTTTAAGGAAAATAAGCATTTGCAATTGAAGCATTTGGTAGAGCTTTAAGATAAATTCCTACCATTATATGTGATAATGGAGGTATATGATTATTTATTAATTTATTTTAGGTTATGATTCAGCTGAACTAATCTAAAATTTCAAAGTTGAATTATAAAAAGGTAATCTAACTTATGGTTTGAATATGACTGATGGAACTATTGGAAACATGAGTGAACTTGGTGTTAAAGAATGTTTAAGAGTTAAAGAATAAGCCTTATTAGCTGCTAGTGAAGCAGCTGAACTTATTATGAGAGTTGATAATATTGTTAAATGTGCACCTAGAAAAAGAGAAAGAGCATGAAAGTAAATTGTATAAATTATATAAATAATACAAATAATCTACATACAAATCATCTTCTTTCTTTCAAACTTCAATTAATTAATTTATTTCATTCTTCGTTTTGTTAATTTATAGATTCTCTTCCTTATGTTTTTATCTTCTCTTCTCTTTCTATTATGTAGTTAATGTATGGATGATAACTCCTTTATTCTAATATGCAAATTACACAAACCAAAAATATTAATGTTCCTAACAATAATTCCATTATAATAATTAATCCATACTTATTACTATTCCAACTTTCCTTTACTTACTCCTACATATTATATAAAATCTCTCTTTCTGTTTTAAAATAAATATATGGATCACTCTCTATCTACTTTCTTAAAATACCATTCAATTCATAAGAATATTCAGTATTATTCATAAATTCCCATCTTACATAAAATGAACATTCTTTATTTTCATATTTTAAACAACTGTTATTTTAATCATTATTTTAAAAAGAACATTCTATTATATTGTCTTCTTATTAATTTTTTATATTTATTTTTGCATCACTAATATCCATATCTACAAAACATTTATTATAATTTTTAGGTAACACTTTTACAACCATAAATGTGTTATTCATAATAGACTCTACTTCTACCAACATTCTAAATTAATTTCTATCCTCAAACTTTCTTCTTATCTAAGAATCATTTACTAATTAAGAAAATGTCTCATCAATTTGAGTTATTATTTCAAATTCAATGTCTTCATTCATTTCCATAAACAGAAAAGTCTATCTTATTATGTATTAAGTTTTTATCAAAAAAGGCAAATTATTTAATTTTTCATAATTCTCATTCGTAATTATTTAAGTTCCTTGTATTAAACTTTAATTTATATCTTATTATTATAATGAGAATTGTAAGACAGAATTGTTTAAATAAAACTTAAACCAATAAAATGTAGATTATTTTTCTTAAGAATTTGAAATCCTTGCTTAATAATATATCATCTTATTTTTGATTTCTTAAACAAAACTTTTTCGAAAGTCATAATAACATGAATTACTTATATCAATTGAAGGTAGTTATCCAGATAATATAACTTAATCTTTGGTGTTTGTTTCATATTTTGCTATATAGAAAAAAATTAAATTTATTGGTTCATCAGAATTCAATTTAAATTCTATTGAGTTCATACATGTTAGATAATGATAATGCTAAATTTAAATATAAGGTTAAAAGGTTTTTATTGTGCTTAAATTATACATTTTGTAATCTATAAAAATATAAAGCTCATCCTCATTAAGAAATCGATTAAATATAAAAGTGTAATTATAAGTATAGTCTTGATCCAAAGGCAATTAATAATTCTAATCTAAACATATTCCTTAATCATTTTTAAGATTTAATTATTATTAGCCATCTACATCTAGTAATTTTATTTACTCTTAAGTTTTACAATCAAACCATCTCAATAATCTAAATTATTAATTATTTTAAGGAAATACAAGATCATCAATGCTTTCTGCACTCTAATATATGCAAAACAACAAAAATGCTATTTATCCTACCATTTATAAATATAAATTTTTATTTATTTCTATCTAGTAGAAAGTTGATAAAACAATAATAAATCATAAAATACATATTATTCTCTTCATATACAGACTTCTCAAATAATAGAAGATGAAAAATTATTATAATTTAATCATTATTTTGAACACACTTCTCCTAAAATATATAATAATTGTTAAATTGAATTCTAATTCATAATCCTTTTTTTTTAAACTCTGTTAACTAAAGTAAATTAAATATTAAGAACTTTTGTATCAACCATTTAAATAATTGCTTTTTTTTTGTAATATCAAATAGAATAATTAATTTTCTAATTCTGTATTTTTAAATTTTTTTATATAAAATCCCATTCTTTTATAATAAAGATGTGATTTAGAGACTAAAAGTTATATTCTAGTAAATTATGTCTATATTTAGAAATGATTATTTTAAAACTTAGCCATAATTAACACATTTTAGGTTCTTTATCTAAAAATGAAATATTATTAACCTCTCAGCATCATAATAGAGCAGCACAATCATTTATGTTTTATGAATAAAAAAATATCACAGATAGTTTTCTTAATTCAAAATATATTTTTTGTCATTAATAAATAATAGAAATTTATGGTTCTTTTTTATAAAAGTAAGAGAAATTGTTAGTATTAGATAGACTCTACTAAAATAGATCAAGCGGATTTTGATAAAAGATAATAGGAATATGTTAATTAGAGTCAATCAATTAATTTCTTGAGGAATAATACTCCAATTAGTAATACAGTTTACCTTTTTTTATTGAAAAATTAAGAATGTAGTTTATCGAATTCATAGGTTGAAATAGGAGGATAATAAAAATATAAATTATATTAAACATATAAATATTATAATTAATGAAAATAGATTAGCAAAAAATAAATATTTTTTATGATGAGATCTGTGGAATTTGTGATAAATTCATAAAATTGATCATTTATTTAGTAAATCCTGAGATTTTAGAATTGTATTCTTTATAGAGTGCAATATAGGATGAGAAATTAAGAAAACAATATGAATTAGATCTTTCATCAATTGTAGTAATAACATAAAATAAAAAACTAAAAAAGTCAAAAGCAATGTTCTATTTACTAAAGCAAACTAAATTGAAATATTTAATAATGGTAATAGAATTATTAATACCGTAATTTTTGGCAGATTGGAGTTATGATTTTATTTCAAAACATAGAGATAAAATTTGTAAGATGAAAAAAAGATGAATAGCAATATTATGAATTTCATATGAATACATCATTTTTCTGTTAATTCTCTATAACCTTTCCAATAAGTTGGTGCTTTATTTCCATTAGAGTGTAAGACTTCAAGTAAAGTGTTAGAAGGTCCATCCTTATATTCTGGTATCATAGTCTAATGATAATATATAAAATTGATTACTAAAGTTTAGTTGAAGATAGGCAATGCTTTATCCCATTATCCATTAATGTAATATTAAAATCCTTATTCCCAAGTATCATAAAACTCTTTCATAAAAGGAGATCTAGCAAGAACTAATTCTTCATCATTCATAAATAGATCAGCTATTTAAATTGAATCCTTTTCGACATTCTTCATAAGTTGATTTCTCTAAAATCTCTAAATAACTCTATATTTTTTGGCTTCTCTTTATTATAATTTGCTGACATCATATTTATCAATTGGTTCTTTGATTCCTTTCAATAAATTCTTAATAGATAAATCAATGGTGAAAATTTCTAATTATATAAATATTATTTATTACTCATAGGTTCTATACTTCCTTTGACAGTAACGATATCTATAAGTCTTAATTATTTCTAACAAGATTCAGTTAAGTATTCTCTCAGAATTCCACTTATTAGAATTATTGAACCAAATTATTTTGTAGCTGCTTCTAATCTTGAAGCCATATTTACATTTGGACTAAGATATGAAGCATCAATTTTAAAAGATGAACCTATTGCTCCTTCAATTCCCCAACCCATATGTAAACCAAAACCCATTTTTACTGAATAGTCTTTCATTCTAGCATTCAAACCAGGATGTTTTTTATACTTTTCTAATTTTTTAGAAATAGAAATTGATGTAATAATTTTAAGAAAAGCCATTACTGCCATGTCTCCTTTTTATTTTATTATTTTGTTATCTTTTAATACTAATTTAGATGGATTATTTGGATCTGGATGATAATCTAATTATTCATATTTCCAAACTAAAAGAAAAGCATCTCCAATATTTTTATTAGCAGAACCACTAAAACTATTGACAGCTGAATGAACAATTTCTGCAATTTCATTTACAAATACCATAACATCTTATTATAAAACTTCAGTTGCATCTGTAAAATTTCTAATATCACAAAATCCAAATATAGCCATAATTTTTTTACCAGGAATCATAGGATCAACACCACCTCCTTTTTTTATATTTTCTGCTATAATTTCTGATCCTGCTTCTCCAAATCCAACTGCTAATAAAGCTCCTACTTTCATAATAAGACGTTATAAAATATATGTTTCCATTGTCTTTTCATTTTCCTTTTCTTTTAATTTTTTATGATCTTAACTTTTTTCTAATTCTTCAATAACTAAATCCTCTTGTTCTTCAATATTAACTGCTTCTAATGGATTAGCCGCAATTAATTCTATATGTTTCATCATAGTTTCTATAGGTTCAATTACCATATCTTCAACATCTTTATTAAAAAGTAACGCACTAATTGCCAAAACAATACAAACAAAAATAGTTTAAAATATAGATAGAATTGCATTTGTCTAATTATATGATACTAAATCTGCAGCAGAATATGCTAATAAAGTTCCATTAATTGAAGTTTGAATATAATATTAAAGATCTGTAAATCTGTACTAATCTGGTTCTAATGAAGTGCTTTCAAAATATTCTGGATATTTTTAGTAATTATATTATACCCAAGCACCATTTACTAAGATATGAACTGCTTATATAGGATATATTTCTCCTTTATGAAATTGTGCATATTATGATATTAATATTTCCTTTACATTTTATTAATCTTTAAATTGTGAAATTCTAAAGATTCCTGAATCATAACTATTAATTTTTTCTTCATATGTATCAAAGTTTATCAATGGTATACTAATCAATACTGATAGAATAACAGTTATCACTCTTCTCATTACTAATTCTGATAATTATTAACCTACTTTAGATTCCTTTGAATCAATATCTCCATTTAATAAACTATCCCCTTAAGAATTAGTATGTTAACCTGATTTTCCAGGAGTTGATTTACCTGGAGATTTACTAAATTGATTATTTGATCCATCACTTCCATCTTAACTTGAAACAGGTTTTTATATTTATTAATTTTGAGGAATAGAATTACCACTAATTTAACTTTAATTTAAAGGATTCTTTTTTATTTTATCACTTTCTATCATACCTTTGATACCTTTTGAATTCGGAATTTGTAGTACTCTATCTTCATCATTAAAATCTTAATATATATAAATATTTTATACGTTACTAATTATTTTATGATTAAGATAAATTCTGTTGAGATTATTATTTAATTTATTATAAGATTTCTAATTATTAGAGTTGCTATTATGATTCTTAATTTAATTATTCATTTTATTATTTTTTTATTTTCTCTTCTTGTGATATTTAAGCCTACCTTAATAACTATCTAAGAAGTGCTTTTTATTGTTATTTCTAAATTTATTGTCTTGCATGTTTATATAATTTAACCAATCTAACTAATCTTATTACTCTTATAACTCTAGCTGCTTTTCTTGCAACTTTTGATGCAGAACCTATAGTTTTAATTGAAGATGCATTTGTAATATCTCCAGAATACCATTCATCAGTGATCCATCCAATATCTAAAAACATAGTTGCTGTTGATATCACATCTAACCAGAAATAAAACTATGGCTATATATGTTATTATATACATTATTGATATATTCGTGTTTGGTAATACAAGTCAAGGCAATCTCTAGAGTAAAACAGAACATACAAATTATTGTTAATACAAAAAAAGCGTCATCTCCATCTTTATTCACTGTTAAAATTCTGATGTCATCACCAAATAAAGCATACACAGTTACTATTCCCATTAGTATTGAAAATGGAATACTCTCAACTAATTAAGAAATCTTTGTTGTTATGCTTGTATTTAATGCTCTTGGCAGAATTATTGATTATCTTGCCTTTATTCTACTATTCATTCTTCTTATAGTTCTTTTAGCCACTATATATTCATAACATTAAATATTATACTTAATTGTCTTTGTTGCCCTTATTTATTTTAACTTGATCTAACATCTGAACCAGATTCCATGTTTTAAAAACTCATCTATCTGTTTTACTTCTATGAAATTTCATCTATTTCATCATTTTCTTTATCTTAACTACTCAATTTCTTTTATATTATAGGTAGACATTTAGGCTTATCGATAAACTTTAAATATTGATCTAATTTACCAATTAAGCTGTATTTCCCCTTTATAAATCTGTGTTTATGGCTAAATCCCCTACTTATTACTCATTTGGTTCCTAATTAAATTGCAAATGTACTTGTTTAACCTAAGCTAGCTATTAATTAAAATTATCAACAACTTGCAATGGAAGAAAGTTTTATTCTGTTTCACGAAAAATATTGTTGTTACTCACATTGTTTGAATATCTATCTGATATTCGATCAGATTCCATCATTTTAGATTATAATTGAAAAAAACAAGATATTTACTTGATTTGAATCTATAAATCAAATCCTTTTAATAAGAAACTTCGTCATAATATTTAAAAAATTCGTTTATTCCTTAATTTATATATTTTATTTTTCATAATATATTTTTTTTATTAATTTTGCAAAATTAAATTATCAAACAAAAATTAGGACACAGCTTATACAAGAAATAGCAAATAAATCGTCATTTTTTTATAGAAAATTTAAATTGAATTTATCTAAAGATCATATTCTAAAATTGGTATAATTTTTATTTAAATTTACTAATATTCTCTTTATAAAGTGGAGAAATTTACAATCAATTTATGATGATAAATGTGGTTGTTTAATGTATTTGATTTTGAGAAATTTTAGAAATAATTATCAAATATTATCTTATTAAATATAATTTTATCTCATACTTAGGAAATGTTTTTAGATTTAGAGTTATTAAAGGGAAAACATTATAAACATTCCAACCTAAATGCTTAATATAAAATTATTATTTATAGTTGGAATAAAAAACTTCAAAATTAAGATTATTAATGTTAAAATAAAGAATTATCACTTTTGTTTAATTTAACTACCATTCACATAAAATAATTTGAATAATTGAATTTTTGATTATTAATTGTTCTAATTATAAATTGATTGATTATATGAAAATGATAAAAATAATCTGAGTATTTTAAATCCATAGATTAATTATATAATGAGATTTCTATAATTTTATATTTCTCATTTAAAATTTAGATTAATTCCAGATGGGAACGGAAGAATAAGACGATAAGGTAGAATTAGTTGTAATCTGAGAAAACTGCATCCATAAGTGATGCAATTTTATTAATGATGGCTTTGCTTGTTCTAAACTAGATTATTGTTGATCTATTCAACAGAATTCAGAAGGAAAACCCGATAAAGAAGTTCATAAATAGTCCAATGATTACAACATCTATAGGAATAATTGCTGGAATTGTTATGAATGAAATTGAAGCAGATAATGCAATGAACTAAATTAGAAAAGGATTTAGTCAACTTTTTTTAATTGTTCTACTTCCTCCAATACTATTTGAAAGGTATTTGATAATAATATATTCCTAAGCGCTGTGAACATGGAAACAGTAATAATATATAAATATTCTTTAGTAACCTTTTTTTCAGCATTTTGGCACAATTCATTTGTATGCAATATTTGGTACACTGATAGCTATTTTTATAACAACAGGAATCATTTATTTAGGAGGTCTTACAGGGTTTGTAACAGCTTTTCCTTTAAATCTTGCATTTGTTTATGGATCATTGATTTCTGCAACTGATCCTGTTAGTGTCATAGGTGCATTAAAATCGATGGAAATTGAAAAGATGTTAAGTATTTTAATTTTTGGAGAAAGTATTTTAAATGATGCTGTTTCATTGACTAGTTATGAGTAATTTTAATTATTCACTAATAATAGAGCTGCTTTAGATTTTTATAATGATTCTGAATAAGGAGTAGGTTGGGTTATTTTAGGGTTTTTTTTGGAATTTATATTATCAATAATAATTGGGTTCTTAATTGGTTGTTTAAGTGCTTATGTAAATAATAAAAATAAGGTAGATTTTGAAAAAAAAAAATGAAGATTCATAAGATTCAATTGAAGAATTGGAGAATATTATTATGTTTATAATTCCTTGGGTTTCATATTTAATTGCTGAAGCTTTAGAATTTTCTGGTATTGTAAGTATTATTTTCTGTGGAATTTTTATGGCTAGATATGCAGTTCCAAATTTAAGTAAATCTGGAAGAAAAGTAATTATCTAAATTTATATCTAATTTTAGAGCATTAGTAAAATTTATCATAGTTTATCATTAATTTTTGAAAATTTAACTTTTCTATTTATTGGTATTGGTTTAATAGGTTTCGATCTTTATTGGAATTAAATGGGAGCAGGTTTATTTTTAATTACATTTTTTGCAATATTAATAGCTAGATTAACAAATATTGCATCAATGAGTTTTGTAGCAAATTGGTTTAGATAAAAAAATAAAATTAATAAAAATTAACAAGTATTTTTATGGTTTAGTGGATTTCGAGGAGCTATGGCATATGCTTTATCATTGGAAAGTTGTTAAAAATTTGAATATTATGGAAATATTATGCTTACAATGACAATTTTAATAGCAATAATTAATATTTATTTTTAAGGAGCATTTATTATACCTTTGATTGATATATTAAATCTTAAATTACCATAAGATGCAAATGAAGAAGAAAAAGTTTAAATTGGATATTTAGCAAGATGTAAGTATGCAATTGGTCAATTTGATGAAAAATTTATATAATCTAAACTCATAAGAAAGTATATTTTTTTTTTATCAAATTAGAGAGATTAAAGATGAAATTGAATTAAAGGAAATTGAAAAATAATGAAAATGTATTATTTTATATTTAAAATATAAATTATTAAATAAATATATTAAAATTAATTTAGTATATCCAATTTAATTTTATCAATAAACTACGTATTTTTAATTAATCTTTGGATGAAATGTACATAATTCTTTTTCTTTTTATATTGCCTCTTCCTCTAATAATCTTTTATTCATATTATTTTATTAAGTTATATTAAATGGTTCTGGTTTTGTCTTTTCTAAATGATTTTTAAAGTCATATTTTAATTCATAATGGAAAAGCTCTTTTTCTCTCTCTATTTGTTAATGGACTTTTTTTTTTATGTTTTCTTTATTTTAAAAAAAACTCTCAACTCCTTTTACTTTTTAGATTAAGGTTTCTTCATCTTTTAAAAATTATTTTGTCATTGGTTTAAAAGTACATTCTTTTAATTCTTAATATTACATTTGTCTAAAGTAAATAATTTTTATACTTTTTTAAATCTTGTATTTTTCTTTCTTTTAGCTCCTTTTCAATTTCCATATTTTATTTAATTAAGTTTTTATCATATTTAGATTTTACATGTTAATACTATGATGATTTTTTAGTTTAAGGATAATAACTAAAAGATTATTTTGATTCTTATTCCTATTGAAATAAAGTTAATAAATTACTTCTTTTAATCTATTTAATTTTTCCTAACGTTCAGGATTATAAGCTAAATCATCAAGAGATCGCTTTTATGCAATAATAGAAGAAATGTGATTTATTTATGGTTTAAATGTGTATTATTAATAATATGCTTATTGTATTTGTTCTTTTAAAATTTGATTTTTTTCATAATCCCTTGCTCCTAGACGATTAATCTTATCTGACATGTTTTCTTATAATCTTTCTTCGTTACTTTCCATTATTAATTCACTCGTTTTATTGATCTAAGGTTTGAAGGTAACATCAGAATTTTTTATAAATTCTTATATGAGTTTTTCTTTTTTTTCTCTCATAAAATCTGCCATTAAATACTAAGTTTAATAAACTTAGTTAATTTATTATATTGGTTTTGTAGTTGGATTGATTTAAGGATTAAAAGTACATTCATCCTTTTCTTGAATTTCATTTTTTTAACTTATTTTTTTTTATAATTTATTAGCTGCATCTTCCATTAATCTTTCAACAACAGATTTAGATGTTTATTTTTATTCTGCTATTAATATTGATCTTTAAGAAATTTTAGGTTGATAAGTAACATCAGATTATTATTAAAATTCTTATTTTTTTATTAATAATTCTTCTTATTTTTTTTTCATAACTTCATCAATTCTTTCATATAAAGGTCTCATGAATTATTTTTCTCCTTTCAAAACATTACTAATTTGACTAATATCTGGTTTAAATGAAAACTACTCCGAATTTATATGATCAAATTTTAATTATTCTTTTCTTTTTTTTTATTCAATTCCATCCTAATATAATCTTTCAGCAACTGGATGATCAGTATTTCTTCTAGATGCAATATCACTAATATTTGGTTTAAATGTACAATGCTATTCTACCAATTCATCAATATATTTTCTTTTATCATTTTCCCTCTATTCTAATTGATTTCTTTTATCTTCTAAGAGTCTTTGCCAAACTTCTTCTTTTGAATATTCCAAATTTTTTTTTTATTATTATCTAGGCATATCATAAGATTTTGGTTAACAACAAGGTCGCTTAATTTTTGGACTATAAGTTGAATTAAATTCTTCCATCAATTTATTTAAATATGTTTTCTATTATTCACCATCTTCACATTCCTCTTCATGAGGTTCAGAAATATATTATTCTCTATGATCGGATTAACTTCTTTAGATTCTCATCATATATTCATGATTAAATTCTTTATTTTTTTCTAGTTATTATTATAGTTTTTATGCAGTTAATTCAAGAGTTTAGCTTTAAATCTTTGACTCTTTCTTGCTACTACTTAGTATTAAATCATCCCAATATTGGGGAGATTATTATTCAATCATCATAACGAATTTTGAATTAAATTAATAAAATAATCCAACTTGACTTAGTAAATAATTGGTTTCTCAAAAAAGATAAACAAATTAATCAATGATATATAAAAGCTGGTACCCATCTTTGTTAAAAGTTTATTTAAACCAACAACTTGTTTTAAGTATGTTTTAAATTTAGATATAATAACGTTATAAAATTCAATAGTTTTTTTACAAAAATAATAATTTATAGTAATTCTTTAAAGTAAATAAATTGTTACAATATGAAATAATGAACCATTATTAGAATGTTATAAATATGATCCTATAAAAATTAGAATTAAGAAAATTTAGATAGTATAACAAAATATATAAAAGGTAACCGAAGATTTAAATCAAGATTAATCTACATCAGATATCAAAAGAAGATTAAATATTAGTTAACAATCATAAACTATAAAGATGACCCTTGAGAGTATTAGAATAATATGTCATTATTTTAACGCTTGATATTTTATTATTAATTTTATATAATTTATGATTCACGGTCCCAATTCTCCATTTTCAGGTGCCTTTACTATAGGAAAACGCTATGAATGTAAAATCTTACTATAATTTTAGCTGCCATTTATTAATCTAATCCAAACCCAGGGTAATGTATGCTATTGACATAGTCCAAATCACTATTCTATTAATCCAATTGATAAACCTATAGGGTTTAAATTTTCGAAATCTAATAGGAAACCCTTATATTAAAAAAGTATAGCACCAGATCCTGGAGCATACGATCTTAAATTTTAAGTTTCAATAAATATAACTTAATTAGACAATTTCTCAAAATTCCCCATCTGCTATTTTTGCAACTGCCAAAGATCATTAAAAAAGAGGTTTAGAAATAGGTCCTGGATCCTATAATTGGACTGATTAAAAAAAAGCTCCAGCATTTACCTTTCAAAGTAAATTTGATTCTATCGGTAACTAAATACTATAAAATCCTGGACCTGGTTCTTATGACATTAAACATCACCTTACTCTTTAACCATAAAATAAAGGATTATCAACGAGTAAAAGGGTTAATTATTTAACATCAAGTACACCAGGACCTGGATAATATGAAGTTGAAATACCTAAATTCTCTACCAGCATTAAGTATCATTTAATTTCTAAAAGATTTCCAAAATCTTAGAGAAGTTTAGATATAAGTTAAATTGGACCTGGTCCAGGAGCATTTGATCTAACTATCCCAAAACAATAAGGAATAACTTTTGGTGTTAAAGGGAATCAACAAATAGAAAAATCTAATGTACCTGGTCCTGGTAGTTACGAATTAAAATCATTTGTTGAATATGATGAAAGAGAATAAAAATAAAATAAAATAAAAGGTGTTAAGTAATGATAATTAAATTAAACTAGAATTGGTACTTCCAATAGAAGTAGTTCAAATTTGTTAAAGATAGGGCCGTCTCCATTAGATTATGATGTGTCAAAATATAAATATCCTACAAGACATGCTAGGTAACAGAAATTAAATTTATTGAAGCTTTGGAAGTGCTGTAAGATAATCAATTATTACAAATGACTAAACTCCTGGACCTGGAGCATATATGATAGATTCTAAACTTAGAAAAAATGGTCCAATTATTCCAAAAGCATCTAAAGATTTCAGTAATTTAGATAATATTCCTGTAAATTTCTAAATTCACAATCTAGGGTCCTGGAAAGTACAATCCTAATATATCAATTTCATCAAATAAAGGACCTAGTTATAATATAGCTGGTAAATATGAAAAACCATTGGAAAGCAGTTTAGTTGGGCCTGGAAGATATAATATTTAAAGGAATATTAGTGATGGTCCAAAATATACATTTCCAACCTTAGAAAAAAGTATGGAAAACAAATCGATCGACATAAATTAGTAAATATTGTTTAGATTAATAAATATAGATCGCATTGTTATGAAATATAATAAACTATTGGATATATACCTCCGTATAACTTACATAATTGAATATAATCAAAACGGATTAATTTAATATAAAATTATGAAAATTATTGTCTTAATATTCTTGTTAGGAGCCTTTGCATCAAACATCAGACACAAAAGAGAAAGGTTTTTTTATTGTTTTTATAATTTAGAAACACTGATTCGTAGACATTATCACACTAATAATAAAACAAGAAAGGTATTGAACAATAAATAGATATATTTAGAATTATTGTAAGTATCAGATATAGACAATGAATCTTAACCATTTGTTGAGGAAACACTCAATCAAGAATAAAATTTAGAGGAACCCAAACCATTATATAATAATGATGGCAGATCACCTGATATGGGCTTAAATGAAGTAGAAAATAATGATGCTCCTGAAGCACCTATGATGGCAGATAATGTTTTAGATTATTCAGCTTAGGAAGAAGTGATTACTGGAGTATCTCTTATATAAGTTGGAGAAATTGATGCATTAGCTAATATTGACACTAGTATGCCTTTATTAGATGAGGATTTCAAATATGATGAATAAGCACTTTAAGAAACACCTTTGAATATTGATATTATCGAAGAAGTACCTTAATCATAAGATTAAGATATTAATTAGATAGATGATTAATTGCAATAAGATATTCAAATTGAAGATTAATAAGATTAATAAGATTAACTCATTAATGAAGTTTAATTACTCTAAATTGGAGGATTCTATTATTGATTTATTCAAAAAACATATATAATATTAAATTTATTATTCATGAATAAAATAAATATTTCAGCTACATCAGTCAACTTTAAAAAGCTAAAGATTACTAGCAACTAAAATAATAAACTTGATTCATCATTACATCTCAATCAAAATAATAATATTACATAAAGAAAAGATGATAAAAAATAATAATCTTAAATCTTTTAATCATACACAGAAAGAACAAAGACCAGTTCTATAAATAAAGATAAAATTTCATTAAAATAAAAGTAATAATAACTAAATTTTATTTTAGTTTAGCTCTCATACTAAAGTGAACGTTAATAACTCAAGTGTAGACAAGGTCTTAAAAAATTAAAGAACATTTTCATAAATGTCTCGATAATCGAATTAAAGTCCAAATTCAAAAAGATCAGCATCCAAAAATAATTTATCAGTTACTCCTACTAAGGAATATTCAAAAAAAGATAAGGTTTAATAAAAATAATAAGGTCAATAATTATATTAATAAAAAAAACAGTCATTATCCTAATCACACAGATAATAATAGTAATAATAATAATAATAATAGTAATAATAATAATAATAATAATAATAATAATAATAATAATAATAATAATAATAATAATAATAATAATAATAATAATAATAATAATAATAATAATAATAATAATAATAATAATAATAATAATAATAATAATAATAATAATAATAATAATAATAATAATAATAATAATAATAATAATAATAATAATAATAATAATAATAATAATAATAATAATAATAATAATAATAATAATAATAATAATAATAATAATAATAATAATAATAATAATAATAATAATAATAATAATAATAATAATAATAATAATAATAATAATAATAATAATAATAATAATAATAATAATAATAATAATAATAATAATAATAATAATAATAATAATAATAATAATAATAATAATAATAATAATAATAATAATAATAATAATAATAATAATAATAATAATAATAATAATAATAATAATAATAATAATAATAATAATAATAATAATAATAATAATAATAATAATAATAATAATAATAATAATAATAATAATAATAATAATAATAATAATAATAATAATAATAATAATAATAATAATAATAATAATAATAATAATAATAATAATAATAATAATAATAATAATAATAATAATAATAATAATAATAATAATAATAATAATAATAATAATAATAATAATAATAATAATAATAATAATAATAATAATAATAATAATAATAATAATAATAATAATAATAATAATAATAATAATAATAATAATAATAATAATAATAATAATAATAATAATAATAATAATAATAATAACAAAGTTGAAAAGACAGGGTTTTTGTGATTATGGAAGAGGAAAGAAACAAATAGTAACAAAAGCTCATGAAATATAAATTTCATTATTCTTTTCTTATAATAATATAAACTTTACTTCTAATCTAATTCCTCAGAGAAATTATAGCAAATAATATTGATTAAAAAATACAAAATAATCTATCAATAATCATTTCTTTTGTATGTATTTTTAAATTCAACAGCATAATTGATAAAATTAATTTTATCTTCAAGGTTTGATTTTTGTTATTCGCCAGGTTTGCTATTTATATTGATCTCTATCTCCTTTTAGACATCAATACATTGTTCCTCTCTGATATGTATGAATTTTGCATGTTCTCATTGGTAATAAGAATAATTATCGAATATTAAATAGTCCTGAAGATAATTAATTTTTTAAAATCTCAGCTTGTTGTCCCTCTTTAAATTCTAAATTATATCTCTTAAAGTAAATTTTGCATTTTTTCAGTTTATGAATCTAAATTTTCAACAGTATCAATAATTAATTTTCAACATCTATTTACAAGTTTAGCCGTTAGGACATAATTTTTAATTATTTTTTCAAACTTTCATGATTAAGTTTTTCAGTATCATTGCTAAGTTGTCAGCATATCAATAATACGAGTCTATTTCTGTTGCAAATTTTCCTTATTTTAGTTTATTAATAAATAAATCTGTGTAAATATTAAAAAAGAAAAGGGGATAGGTGACTTCCTAGGGGAACTCCATTTCTAAAATTATTTTTAGATAGTTAAAAAGCCAATTTAGGTTTTTAGATCTAAAGTTAATATATAAAACTTATCATTTATACTCATTCTTATATTTCTTAATGTCACAAATTAATCTATAGATTTTTGGATAAATACCATATCCCTTTTCTCTATAATAATAATTTAATTTTTTAGATGAAAACCTAATCATTTTTCCTATAGGTGGAGAATCACCTTTGAAGATAACATTAGCCTTCTGACGATGGACTATAATACATAAAAAATTTCCTCAATCATCTTAGAATCTATCTGACTTGGTTTTTATGAGAGTACTCTTTTGTCCTGACTTGGTAGCTTAACTTTCAAATTGTGTAAAGAGTCTTTAAGCTTCCTTTATGAGAACCTGGTATATATGTTTTCTGTAAGTCACAGCTCCTCCCTGAATAATTCCTATTAGATTGAATCTTAATAGTGTTCTCTCATAAATATCCTTGACTTTCCTATCAATATCATACTATATAAATTAAGAACCTTGAACTCTTACAATTTCATCTAGGTTATTATAAAAGACTTGTCTAATCATTTGTTGGATATTCAGATAAGAAATTTGTCCTTAATAATTAGTATCTATCTCTTAATTTATTTTTCAATCTTCTATATTTAATAAAGTTGCATTTATTAGAATCTATTTTAATAATTATAATTTTACTAAGATACTTTTTAATAAATTTTTGGATTTGTTTTTTTAATTTTATTTAATTTAACACTTGAGAAATATAAAGAAAAATAATAAGACAAATGTTTTTTTTTAAATATTAAATTTTATATTTTTCTCAAATTCAAAACCAAAAATTAAAAATTATGAAAATTCATAAAATATTTAAAAAAAAATAAATTCAAAAATAATAATAATAATTATAATAATCTAAAAAAACAGATAGATAACATACTCCAAAATCAACAACTAAATAAATGTTTACCTCTCCAAATTTTAAGTAACTGTAAGGTAGCATAATAAATAAAATGAAACCAACATTTGAGAAAGGGAAATCATTACCTTTTAAAAAAGAAAGTGCACCTGTAAAATTAAATATTCAAAATAACACTTCTATTTCAACTGCTTAAAAATCAAATCGGAAACCTCATTAGAATTTAATTACGAAGAATGAAATTCCTTTTCAATATGAAGAATTCACATTGTAGAGAAATCAAAATAAAAATGTTTAAACTGATGGATTGTTTGTAATTTTTAAGATTAATTATTTAGTGTTTAGTAAAACCAATATTTTAGGAATCGAAATATTATTAATCGTCATTAATTCATTTTCATTATGAACAAGTAAAATAAAAATAATCTCCTTATAAATATTATTTTGAATTAGAATACTCATCATAAAATGATAAATTGATGGAATATTTTAAGGAATTATTTTAAGAACATTTCATATAAAATTATAATTGTCTATAATATTGCAAGAAATACAGCTAAAATATTTAAAAGAATCATAAGTTTGAATTTTTGCCTGGGTAATCTCAAGAGATTCAAACATTAGTATTTGATTTGGATGAAACTTTAATTCATTGTAATGATAATAACAATGATCCTACAGATTATGTTATATAGATATAATTACCAAATGAAGGGACTGTAGAAGTATTTAAATAGTTTAAGAAATAGGCGAGGATAAATATAAGACCATTTTGTTAATAAATGTTAAGACTTTTATCAAGCAAATTTGAATTGATGTTATTTACAGCATCTTATCAATATTATGCTGATAAAGTACTTGAATTAATAGATCCAGAGGGAACAATATTTTAATATAGATTTTATAGAGACAGTTGTATAGAAGTAGAAGATGGGTTATTTGTTAAAGATTTGAGGATAATTGGGAATAGAAAATTAGAAGTAAAACAACAGATTAATATTTTAGAATATATTACTAGTTGATAATGCATCTTATTCTTATTGTTATTAATTAGATAATGGAGTGCCAATAATACCATTTTATGATAATAAATATGATAAGGAATTAATATTTTTAACAGACTATTTAATGGGATTAAAGAATTGTGAATAATGGGTAAAATAAAACAGGATGCATTTTCGTACTTATTTTTATTAAATATGTACTAATGGAGAAGAATGTTTAAAAGAATTATTTTAAGCTCATGATATTG